ATGTGTATGTAGGTATCCGATGAAATGGACAAACGCCGCGAATGTATGCCGTTAAAGCGCGAGAGCATGAAGATGAAGGCAAGAAGCGAAAGGAAGTGAACAAGTACCACGCAGCAAGAAGAACAACGACCACAGTCCAAAAATGGCCATAACAAGCGGCCAACCCCCACATTCTCACCAAAATAACCTCAAACCTCCTCTTCAATCTCGCGCCAATTTTCCAAATCATCAAGCCTTCTCTTTGAACTTCTCCTTGGGCGGGGTCAATGGCCCAGGCGCTTCCTCCTCAATGAACTCGCCCTCACCTAACTTCCCGCCAAACGTATCCACCTCTTCAACCTCCTCATCTTCCTCCTCATCTTCCTCTGTGATACCTAAAATCTCTCCACTCCTGCGACCCTGTACACTCGTTCCCCGACTCCCCATACCACCTTCCCCACTTCTACTCCTCCAGCCGCCACTGCCATTTGTCGAGCTGCCATTCAGACCTCCGGTATTAACATTAAGCATGGGACCTTTGAAAGGGCTCTTCCTCCTCTTTGCGAAGACAAGACCGGGAGACTGCGGGGGAATGCTGTTTCCATTTCCGAAAGCGGCGCTGGATTCGTTGAGACCGGGTGGGAAGCCAGAACGTACAAGGCGGATGTTGGAAGGAAAGCTTGAGGAGGTGGGGGTGGCGGGGAGGACCTTGATGCTGTTGTGGGGGGATTTGGAGGGTTTGTGTGAATGGCCGCTTGTGGAAACGGCGGGAGAAGCGAGAGAGGCGGAGGATGTGGATGAGGCTTTTGAGTGCGAGTGGTGGTGGTGTGGCATGCTGCGGATCGAGGATACAGATGACGAAGTGGACTTTCGACCGCGGAGACCACCAGACGAGCGACGGTATGAGGATCGTGGTGTTAGTGGAGCGGGTGATGCTGAGAGCCTTCTCATGGAGCCTGAGCCGTGTGTTGAGCCTCGGGGTCTCGGGCCAGGCATTTGTGGTGTGGGCGGAGACCTGGGGTTCGTGTGTACAGACGACCGATTCGCCGTGCTTTGTCTTCGTGTTGAATCCGAAGACTTGCTTGGAGGTATCTTTGGCGACTGTCCACTGCTGGCTTTCGAACCCGGAGATCGCGCTCGTTTCGACGTCTCTTTTATCCAATTTCGAAGTGTCAAAAGGTGGTTGATGAAGGGCTGTTTCCGGCGTCGCTTAGGCACGAAGCCGTTGGGAGAAAGAAGATCTGGATTGGTAGATACGACCTGTAGCATGCTGCTGCGTGAACGCCGCCTGTCGAGATCCTTCGCTGGTGGTGGCGGACGTGAGGATGAATGGGATTTCCGACCCCGACGGGTATCGATTGGGGGGAGCGGCTTGTCGTCGACTGTGAGATTGGGTGAGGTGATCAGCTCTGGCAGCTTTGGCAGTTCGGGAGCACCTGTCTCAAGTTAGAAGCGTTTCCTGACGTCCGCCGTGATACTCACCATGTAGGCTGCTTCGATTTGTGGTCCTGCCGCGACTCTTAGGCGTAGAGGGAGAGTGAATGCCTTCTTCGTCAGACTCTCTTATGGTAGGCGCAAGTTTGTCAAGTCGACTACTTGCAGCGCTCAGTCGCCGGAGGCTCTTAGCCTCTGCTTCTTTCTCTTTGCGCTTGCGTTCTCGCCTCTTTGCCTTGCGTTCCTCTTTCTCGAGCAGCAGTGCCCACCAACCAGCTAACGAGTCGCATCTTTGGGCTAGCACGTTCTCAATCACCATGTCAATGTCCACCCCGGCGGCGCGCATGCGTTGCAAGACCTCCTTCTCCAGCTCGGTCGAGAAAGGCGCCGGCTGTTGGAGTTTCAAGATCTCCTGCTGGCGGGGCGCATGTTCCGATAACCAAGGGTTCTGTAGTATGTCCGCCAGAGTAGGTCGCAAGATCGGCCGTTTGGATAGTAGTGACTGACATAGCTCCTTCGCTTGCTGAGGAAAGTGCTCCGGGTATTTGGGGTCCTCCTTCAGTATCTTGTTCTTCGTGACCATTTCGTCGTCGTCGTCAAAAGGCAGCTCGCCCACTAGAAGCGCGTAAAGAATGATGCCCAAACTCCAAACGTCCACCTTTTCGCCTGCGTACTTTTCGCCCTTGAGCATCTCCGGCGCGCTGTAGCAGATTGTCCCGCACCATGTCTGCAGGTAGTTGGACTTGCCCTCGTACTCGCGCGTGAAACCAAAGTCGACCAACTTGACGTCTCCGTGCTTGTCCAGCAGTATGTTCTCGAGCTTGAGGTCGCGATGGACGCACGACTTGTTGTGGACGTAGGTGACGGCGCCGACGAGCTGGGTGAAGATGCGCTGGACTCTGGCGGGCTCGAGGGCGCCCTTGGCCAGTAGGTAGTTGTAGAGTTCATCGCCCTGGCAGTACTCGAGTACCAGCCAGACTAGGTTCTCGGTGACTATGACCTCGTACAGGCGGGCTATGTGTGGGTGCGTGAATTGGCGGTGGTGATGGATCTCGCGCGCGAGGTTGGCGTCGTCCTTCTTCGCGCTCTTGAGCACGACCTGCTTGCGATCAGCGTGGTTCCTCGTAACGTCCTGCCGGTGGTACCTTTGAGCCATTGCTGAGTTTGTGCGACGCCAAGTAAACCTTGCCAAAACTGCCCTTGCCTATAAGTTTCCCCAGTGTATAGTTGCCGACCGTCTTGAGATCAGTCGCGGCGAACTCACTGGCCCTGCGTCAGCAAATTGGAGCCGGTGAAACACGCAGCCGGCGCGCAAAAGCAAAGAAGAGACTTACTCGAGCAACTGTTTGTACGAATTCGCGAGCTGCTATAATTTGCGTCTCAGCATGCGTGTTGCAAACATGCGCCTGGGGGAATTGCTTGTTGCGGCGCACGAGCGTCGTTGGACGGCAGCGGGACGGGGCCTACCTTCTTCCTCTGGGCCTGAATCTCAGCCTGGGCTCTGAGATTTGACTGCATGGAATGATGCGCCGCTGCTCCGTGGTGTCGCCTGCGCAACCAGCGTCATCTATGGGTTGCAGGAGTTCGGACTGGCGAGCGAGCGCCGCGGAAGAGAGAGACGGCTCCGTATATGCCCTGGTGGCAGCGAAAGTGGAGAAGGCCGCAAACGCCAGGGGCCTAGGGCGTTCGAGATGTGCGAGGATAATAATACTAGCTTTGCGCCGACCGCGAGTGCGAAGAAGTGTATATTAATTGTGAATACTCCCAGGCGGACGGGGACTGGGCGTGCCGTCAGATCTCTCCTGAGCTTGCGGTGCTGCCATGGATTCGGGGAGCGCGATCCTGGTCGCAGATCATCCACCGCTGCTCTGGGAAGGCGCAGGCACCACCACCACAATGCGACGCGACGTGGTTTGGACATCCTTCTCGTTTCGAGTGTACAAGTCAATAACGTTTGTGCAATGTGTTCTTCGACCGAGAGTCGGATGCATGTATGCGCTTCTTCTGACGCTGTGTTACACGACAACCCAGGGACCGAGATGCGATGGACTACTGTCAAGACACAAGAAATTTACAATTATTATCTACAATTTACTGCTCGGCCCTCCAATGTACGTCTGACCTAGCTTCAGCATGTCGATCGCCTCTTGCACCATCTCGTCGACAATCTCCTTTGCGGGCTTGATATCGCCGATAACCCCCGCAACCTGGCCCATCAGGAACGGGATATCCACATCCTTCCCATCGTCCATGTCCTTCGCCAGCGGCACAACTCCCGCCTCCGTGAGCTTCTTGATCTCGTCCTCGCGCTCGTGCCACTCTTTGATGTAGTCGTTGTACCTGACGCGCAACGGTCGGCCACTGACAACCAGCGTCCGGCCTGTATCTGTGAAGTCGGCTGTGACCACGTTCTCCTTGTGCATTTGCGAGCAGCCCGCTTCAGTTGATGCCACGAATCGCGTGCCAACCCATACGCCCTGTGCGCCTTGCATCAAGCTGCTTGCCAGGCTGCGGCCGTTGTAGATGCCTCCCGCCGCCACTACAATAGCTGGCTGTCCGGTAAGAGGGCTCTTGTATTTGCGCGCGACGTCCACGACGGAGGGTATCAGGATGCTGTTCGCGATATCGCCGGTATGTCCTCCGCCTTCTCCACCCTGGGCGCATACGATATCCACACCTGCATCTAGTGCCTTTTTCGCATGTTTGGGGTGTCCGACCATGTTCATGATCAAAATGCCTGCTTCGTGAAGCCTCTTGATCGTCCGCTCGGGCGGTACACCAACAGCGCTCACAAACAGCTTTGCGCCATTCTTGATTGTGACTTCGATGAGGTCATCGAGCTGTCCATGGGTGTAGTCATGGTTCGTCTTGCGTGCGCTGCCGCCGACTTGTGGGAGTGCGAGATCGACACCGAAGGGCAGGTTCTTGTCTCGGAGGTTTGACTTGAGGTCATCGATGATCGATTGGAGCTGTTCCGGTGTGTATCCGAGACCGCCAATTACACCTAGGCCACCAGCGTTCGACACGGCAGCTGCGAGGGGGCCACCAGAGGTGCGCGCCATGCCGGCGAGGATAATCGGATACTGGATGCCCAGCAGCTTCGAAAGCGGCGTCTGCAGTGCCGGCGGTGACATGACGGCGTAGGCTGTGGTCGCGGGTGGTTGATGATTGAAAGTAGATGGAGTAGGTCACGTCGGATAACGCGAATAAAGGTCTGAAGAGCGTGCTTCTGGCAGCAATGAAGCTATCTGTAACCGCATGGTGAGTATGGGAATGTGCATGCTAAATAGCGGCCGTGCCTACTGGCATCCTCGACTGCCAGGGGTTTTGCGGGGAAAACGTGGGTGCACGAGCCGAGGCATCTTAGCTCGACTCGATACATCGTTGCCATTGCCGAGATTCGCCCGTCGTGGACGGGATGAACATGCATATTTGGTAGTCACAATAGGCATAGTATGGGAAATTTTCTGCTGGAGAGCACGATGATATGCATGTTGGAAATCATAATCCATACTATCGATGTTGTTATCAATAATCGGCTTCTCGCACTATACTCACGTATGCCAATTGCGGAGCACAAAGACGCTTCAATCAACATCTAAATCTGGCTCTTCTGGCTCCTCCGACTTCGCCGCATCGTTTGACAGAAGACGAGCAGTCTTGTCAGCCATTGCTTCCATTTCCGCATCGAACTGCGCAGTCACATCATCCCAATTCATCTGCTCCATGAGCTCGTCGAATGCTTGGTCAGTCATATCGAAGTCCGCAATAGACGGTAGGTCTACATCATCCCAACTCCACTGCTTCACGATATCTCCGAGCGATTTCGAAGCCGGAGGCGGGGCATCATTTGCAAATTGAGAAGACGTAGATGGGCCGAAGAGTGAGTCTCTATGATATTGCTATTAGCGTTTGACTCCATTCATTTGCCCATTAGCTTGTGCATGCCCGTTGACTTTTCCCTGCGCAGGTGTTGGCTGCGGCGGAGGCGGAGGGACAGGCCCGAATGGTCGATGCACAAGCGCCGGTTCAACACCGTCTTCTTCAGTGTCGTCGTCGTACTCTGCGCTATCTTCGTCCTCGTATTCGTACTCGCTCTCCGTGACTTCTTCATCCTCCTCGTCGTGCTCCTCCTGATCCAGCTCATGCATCGGAACCTGGCCTCGACCTTGTGCCTGCATTCCACGACACAGTGTTTCCAGGCGAGCGATCTTCTTCCGCTGGTCCTCAGCTTCCTTGGTCCGCCTGGCAAGCTCCTCTTGCATCTTTTGGCGCTCTTCCACCATCTCGCCAATATTACGGTTCGTAATGTCCTTGTGGCGTTGCAGCGTCTGGTTCTCCTTTTCAAGGCGCTTGGTTTTCTTTGACATCTCCTCCATCTCCTTGCGGAACGTGAGGAAGAGATCGTTCGAGTTGTTGAGCGTTTCCTCGACCTGCATCTGGTCAGTATTAACCATGATGATACAGACCAACGAGGGGTTAACGGGTTGCATACCTGTTTGAACTTCTCCACGTATATGTTGAGCTGCGTGCGTAATTCCGTCTCGGTCTGCGAAAAGGTCGACACTTGGCGGGTCAACTGGTGCGACTTGGAAGATTCGGCTTCTTGTTGTTTGCGCTGCTGCTCTAGTCGGGCAGCGTGATACTGTATTTCGAGCTCTTTGAGTCGCAGCATCGAGTGGTATTGTAATTCGCGCAACTCGTACTGGTCAATGAACGACTTGAACTTCTGACGAAATCTGCTTTGTTAGTTCATACTCCCGAATTTGGTTGTGCCACACTTACATTTCGTCCAGTTCTTGCTCGGCTTGATTCTGTGGTTCAGGCCCGTTCGCAGCTGCTATGCAATCGTCCACGTCATTCACCAGGTGTTCGAGACGCTCGTGTAGTTCTTGCCTGGCGGTGGATTCGCTAGATTCGAGCTTGTGTAGTTCGTCCTTGAGTTTCTTGTTTTCCTTTGCAAAGTCACGCGACAATTTGTCCAATTTGTCCTTCATTGTCGTAACCTTGTTCAACTCCGACCTTTGCGCGTCCTTTTCCTTCTGCAGCTGGTCCCCGCGCTTCTTCGCCTTTTGGTGTTCGCGTTCCGTGCGCTTCATATCGGAGAGGAGTTCGGTATATCGTTTCTGCACGACTTCGAGCCGGGACAGCGGGCCGTCCATGTTGGAGAGGAGCGAGGAGAGTTCGCGGTTTGCTTTCTTAACTTCGCGTTCTGTCCATGCCATACGTCAGCCAGCGATTCATTTGATAGGGCCCCAGTCTCGTGCTGTGCAGACATGGGCTGCGCCACCCAGAGTATCCCCTCCTCCACAGCTCCGTCGCAAGAGGTAGACGCACCGATTTCGAGTTCCTGCTCCTTGTCCCCTGCCTGGTCCAGTTCGAGCTGAGCAATCTTGGCCTGGATCTGCTTCTGCTGCTCCGAGGGGTCGGTCGCCTTCTTGCCTTTGCCCTTCTTAGCGGGCGCAGGCGCAGGCGCTGGGTTGTGCTGTGCGGGTGCCATGTTTGCAGGAGAGGCAGATGCACTGCGGCTGGCTTCGTGGTGAGGGCGGGACTGGGCAGACGTCGGCTGGCGCTGTTGGGCGACGGTTGCCATGAAGTCGTGACTCTTCCGTGTAGCGCCTCAGCTTGTGGATCCCCCGTGTTGCCTCCGACGGTTCCTCCGCCTATGCACTCAGTCTCACGTGTCCCCAATGCAGGTCTCTAAGCAGTCCAGTGGCGCATCCGTCTGGCAGCAGCCGCCTGTCTACAATGCGCGTGGTGAGGATGCACGTCTTCCGCCGGCGTCTCGGGGCTGCTTCGGGTGAAAACAGGTGTGGAGCGCAGTGCAGGGGGCGTCAACGGGCGTGGTGTAGCAATATGTACAGTGTCGGGTCATGCAGTCGTCGGGGTCGGGTCGGGCAATGTCTCGTGGCGGGTGTTGAAGAGGAAGGAGGGGACGACGTCGGTGGTCTGGTCGATCGCGAAAGGCACAAGACACCTGGTAGTCTCCACAACGCCCACGAGCTTCAATATCGGACCCGACAGATGAGATCACTGGCAGGCTAGCCAATCCGACATGTCTCCAGCCGTATAACGCATCAACAGCCTGTCCAGGCGCACTCTTTCGTCTTAGTAATTTTGCGGGCTAATCTCTTTTGGTATGGGGTCCCTCGGCCAATCGGCGCGACAGGCGTCATCGATGGGGTGCCTCTGACATTTCTGAGGCTGCGCGGCACTCTGTCATCCACCCTCTATTCCAAACATGCTACGTTCCGTTGGTCGGCAGGTCCAAAGCCCTCGAAATGCCACGATAACTCCGCACCGACTATCGACCTTGCCTCGACGTGGATATGCCGCTATTACCGATGTCTCCAACTTTCCCAATGTCGGCGAGCAGCTGCACGGCTTCACCCTCAAGCGCGTCAAGCAGGTGCCGGAGCTCGAGTTGACCGCTTTACATCTCCAGCATGACAAGACTGGCGCCGAATATCTGCACATTGCCCGCGAGGATGCGAACAATGTCTTTTCGATTGGCTTCAAGACCAACCCACCAGATGCCACCGGAGTGCCACACATCCTCGAGCACACCACACTGTGTGGTAGTGAGAAGTATGTCGCCTTGCTATTGCAATCAACGTATCTCTGACAGTCCAGGTACCCCATCCGCGACCCCTTCTTCAAGATGCTCCCCCGTTCCCTGTCTAACTTCATGAACGCCTGGACCTTTCCCGACCACACTGGCTACCCGTTCGCCACGACAAACGCGCAAGATTTCAAAAACCTCATGTCCGTATACCTCGATGCGACGCTACACCCGTTACTGAAGGAGAATGACTTTACCCAAGAGGGGTGGCGGTTGGGTCCTGAGAACCCGCTGGCAAAAGAGTCGGAGGACCCCAACGCGAAGCGCATCGTTTTCAAGGGCGTGGTATACAATGAAATGAAGGGCCAGATGTCGGATGCAAGCTACTTGTTCTACACCAAATTCCAAGACCACCTATACCCAGCCATCAACAACTCCGGTGGCGACCCACAGAAGATTACCGACCTGACTTGGGAACAGCTACGGAAATTTCACGCCGACCACTATCATCCAAGCAATGCCAAGATTCTCACATACGGAGACATGCCTTTGGTGGAGCATCTGAAGGAGGTGGACAGTCGCTTGAACGGTTTTGACAAGATAGCCGTGGACCAGGAAGTGAAGGCTCCAATAACTCTGGACGGCCCCAAGGAAGTCACGGTTGCGGGACCTCTCGACCCACTGGTACCTCAGGACAGGCAGTACAAGACTTCGGTTACATGGTTGATGGGCGACACTGCAGACGCCGTAGAGAACTTTGCGCTGGGAGTACTGAGCAGTCTGCTTATGAGCGGCTACGGCTCGCCTCTCTACCGCAATCTTGTAGAATCTGGACTTGGTGCTGATTTCAGTGCGAATACTGGCTACGACAGCGCTGGACGACGAGGTGTCTTGTCTATCGGGTTGGACGCCGTCAAAGCGGATGATGTGAACAAGGTCCGCGAGACCATTGCCGAGACTTTGCTCGAGGTGCGCAAGAACGGCTTCGACAAGATCAAGGTCGATGGTATCCTACATCAGCTGGAGCTCTCGCTCAAGCACAAGACTGCCAACTTTGGCATGGGCATCCTCCAGAGACTGAAGCCGGGCTGGTTCAATGGTATCGACCCAATGGAGGCCCTCGCGTGGCAAGAAACCGTCAATGCTTTCCAGAAGAAGTACGCTGAAGGCAACTATTTGGAAAGCCTGATTGAAAAGTATCTACTAACCGACAAAACCCTGACCTTCACCATGCAGCCATCGGAGACGTTCAGCCAGGAACTCGTAGACGAAGAAAGCCAACGATTAGCGGCAAAGATTGCAGAAACCACGAAGCAGTTCCGAAGCGAGCAGGAGGCACAGAAGTACCTGGAAGAGCGTGAGCTTCAGCTATTGGAAGTCCAAGAGAAAGCCAGAAACGAAGATTTGAGCTGTTTGCCCACTGTTCATGTCAAGGATATTCCTCGAGAAAAGGAGAGGAAGCCACTGCGACATACTGAGCTGGATGGCGTGAAGGTCCAGTGGCGCGAGGCACCCACCAACGGTTTGACTTACTTCCGCGCTGTGCACAGATTACAGGATCTCCCAGACGAGTTACGAGAGATGATCCCGCTGTTCACCAGCGCAATCATGCGCCTTGGTACCAAAGACAAGACGATGGAACAACTTGAGGAACTGATCAAGCTGAAGACTGGAGGCATCTCTGTGGGCTACCACTCTTCACAGTCACCCTTGTCGCTCGACGCGTACGAAGAAGGCATGGCATTTTCCGGCTACGCTTTCGACCGTAACATACCCGACATGTACGAACTCCTACGGACTATCATACAAGAGACGGACTTTGATGGGCCTGAAGCGGGCAAGAAGATCCGAGAGCTCCTGCAGAGTGCGGCAAGTGGTGCCATCAACTCGATCGCAGAGTCTGGTCATTCTTATGCCATGAAGTTTGCTGAAGCTGGAATCAGCCCTGTGAGCCGATTAGCAGAAGAAACCGGAGGTCTCACCCAAGTCAAGGTTATGACAGCTCTCGCATCGCAAGAGTCGCTAGACGATGTCATCAAGAAACTCAAAGCAATACAGTCTTTCACTATCGCGAACAGCAACCAGCTCCGCGTAGCGATCAACTGCGGTAGCGAGAGCTCAACGCCAAACCAGGAGGCACTGCATCGCTTCTTGAACACATTACCCAAGGACGTCTCTGTGCCCTCGACGTCACAGCAAAAGCAGTACCCTCGGAACGCCAAGTCATTCTTCCCTCTGCCTTACCAAGTCTACTACTCCGCCCGCGCTGTCCCGACAGTGGCCTACACCGACGCCTCCAGCGCACCTCTCGAGATCCTCGCGAAGCTCCTTACCTTCAAGCAACTTCATCCAGAGATTCGCGAGAAGGGTGGCGCATACGGCGGTGGTGCATATGCACGTAGCATCGGCGGTCTCTTCGGCATGTACTCATACCGCGACCCCAACCCGCAGAACAGTATGAAGATCATGGCCGAAGCAGGGCAATGGGCGCGCGACCGCGCATGGACACCTCAGGATCTCGAAGAAGCCAAGCTGAGTGCATTCCAAGGATACGATGCGCCGCAAAGTGTCAGTCGCGAGGGAATGAGGCTGTTCCTGTCTGGCGTCACAGATGATATGCTGCAGACGCGTCGCGAACGCCTCCTCGACGTCACAGCTGAGCAGGTACAAGCCGTAGCCGACCAGTTCCTCGTCAAGGGCGCCGATAGCAGTGTAGCTATCCTGGGCGAGCGGAAAGACTGGGTCAAGGAGAACGATGGCTGGCAGTTCAGGGACCTGGGTATGTCGGAAACTGCAAAGGCCGCTGAGGAAGCTGAGGGTATTGCGCAAAAGGAGGACGACGTGCCGGCTATCGCAAGCTGAGAATTTCGATCGACGGTTTAATGATTGTATAAGTAAATGTATGATATGAGGTATGAGACGCTAGCATCATCGGCGTTGGTAAGTTGAATGCATAGCGCGGTGTCATCGCTCCTTCCTCCTTTGCCATCTCATCTCACTTCTGGCTGCTGTCTATCTTATCGTCGCCGGTCATACCTTCCGCCGCTCCGTGCGCCGGCCAAAGCATCTCTCTACGCGTTACTCTCAGTCTCTTTCACCAGCGCAACGAACAGAACCCAGAGGGACCACGCATTCTCTTCCATTGCTGGTTCGCTCTGTCCCCTCAAATATGAGGGATTATGCGCCAGAATAATCTCTGTGCCATCTACCCAGTTCGCTCTTTGACTGTAAAACGTCGAGGGGTGGAGCTTGGGAAGGGGCATTGAGCACCTGCTTTCAGACCTACCTGTATTGAGCGAGACTCTTCTCCTGGTAGACTAAATGTGGGGGTACATCAAACTGGCTATAACTGTTGCAGAAGGATAGACTCGTCGCGTTTGGGTATCTAGCTATCTACAATTTACATCCTAATCTTCACCCGAGTTCATAACTCTAGTTGCTCCCCGACCTGCATCTGCCGCTCCTTCTCCCTTACCTCTGTCGCCTTGAGAATAAGGCGACGGTAGTCTAGAACAGCCTGTTCCAACTCCTGCCTCTTCAGCGCCTCGTGGTCTGAATGCGCGACGAAGATGGAGCCGGGACCGTACAGGTACCTCTTGTGGTCACCAGAGAGGTGCGGCACATCCGTGCCGTAATTGACAGTCAATGTCTCGAAGCCCTCAATATCACAGTTTATGTTCACCACGCCGTATGCCTCGCCGCCCCATTGTACGTCCAGATCGCCACCTTCCTTCTGCGCAAAGGCTCTGACGTCTTTGAGCGCGTCGAGGATTTGTCCGCGTATGACATCGGGGGTGCCGGCTGCGATGCGCGTGGCGATGTTTGCGGTTGCGGTCTCGGCGACGACGTTGGCTGCGACGCCGCCTTGGATGCGCCCGAAGTTCATAGTTGTGTTACCGTACTTCGTGCTCCATGGGAGGTGCTCTCTCAGCTTGAGA